CTTTTTTGATGGTTTTTGAGTCAAGTGACTAGGAAACGGATGTGTCATATGTGTAGGCGTAGCCGGCGGCCCATTTTGTAGTTAATCATGCCACTTTAAGGGGTAACTTTAGAATGTCGACCATCAGCTGGTCATTTCAAGAGACATGGTACGCAAGATACACTTTTACATCTGCAGAATACGCAAACAGTTCGGATTCTTCTATCATTCTGAGAGCAAACCGATTGCACGGCGCATTCTGAAAAGGGAAATCAAAGCCAAATTTGTTGCTGTTTTTCTTTGAAAAAAGGAATTGTAATTGACATCGTTGTGCTCAATTTTCTTAGCAGTAGTTTGCAATCTTCAATCATTTCTTTATTCGGCTCTGGAAACAAGTTTTCGGTACTTTGTAGGGTGTTAATTTATAGCGCAGTTTTATAAGCCCACCAATCTGGTTCTTAATTGCAGAAAAGGTGGTCGATATGGGTATGAGAACAAACTGGTCAAAGTCGAAAAATATGTGAAGGCATGTTGCGAAGGATACTATCAGACCAAGGACAATGTTTGTAAACGTAAGTGTACAAGTTTTTCTGCTATTGTTATACAGTGATTGGACGACGTCTACGAGTCCGAATTCATCTATTTGTTACTGTCGCAGTGCTTTCAATCATAGTTATTAGGACTTTTCGTTTCTGATTGTTAAGGTTTTCACCACTAGAGATTAAAGAAGAAAAGTAACATGAAATGGTCCCTCACTGTTGTTTCACACCGCTCCTCAAAATACCTTACGATCTGTTGCGGTTCCCTTTTTGCCATCTCCTGCTCTGGAGGTATTCTTTCGATCAGGGCAAACAGTCTGCCCAATTTTTGGTATACCATGTCTTCATCCGATGGTTAATGGTGTCAATAAGATGGACCTGGTTAAGCTTAATACACTTTCAGACCCCTTTCCTCTTTCTAACCCACTCCCCAGGTTTCTTTCAATTCTCCTCCTGGGTCAGGTCACCTGAAATTGAGAGACCACCATTTGCTCGAAGCAAGCTTAGGACTAAGCCTAGGCCCAATCATAGGCTTAGCATAAGCCAATGTGTAAGCATAAGCCTAAACCTAAGCCTAAACCCAAGCTTAACCTTAGGCTTCAATGATCGCGCAGCTCTGGTGACCTGACCCCAGGAGGAGAACTGATCGTCTCCCCTCTCCCATCCGCCTTTCACCGGCGAACTATGAATACCCTTCTTTTGTCTGACTCAGTCATCCGGTCAGATGGTTGCTCGACCGTGGTTCTTCCCAACGGATCGATCTCTATGTATGTGGTTTTTGCTCGAGCTGTGTCACTAATACAAGTACTACTGACAATTTCACCATGCGTCAGGTGCCCTGTGTTATATTGGGCAGTTGCCCTCTCTGACGCACGGAGAGGACCTTTATTTTGGCGGCTGCCATGGAGCTCAACGATGCGAATATTGGTGACGAGTAGATGATAAAGAATGTAAAGAATTTCAGCGGAATGCGAGCCACCATGCAAAAAAGGTCGTTGTGTCGCGCCGAATGTCTGCGAATGTGACTCGGGCTATGGAGGGAAGCACTGCACTTCAAGTTGGTATTTTCGATTTAATAAGAGTTGTTCCTCACGAAAAAGTGCTGCTTAAAAACATGAGTATTACTTGTTATTGTAAGTATTATTGTATTATTGAAATTCAGTGTCACATATAGAGTTCAAGGGCGTTTTCTGTATGCAATCGACACGTTGCAGTTGAATAAAACAAATAAATGAATAAAATACATAAATAAATAACGAAATAAATGTATGTAACAGCATATTACATATTTTGCAGAATGTTGCAGTTCCATTGTTTAAGACAAGATCATTCCATTACTTTTTCCTAAAGAATGTAAATGTTGGATTTTTCACCGTAAATACCTACCATACCTGCTTACCGTACACATTTGAGAGCCATATCGCCCCCTTTCAAATTTCTAAGAGGGTTTCAGTGATTTCGATATAATTCGTCACCAATAATTGATCTTGATTACTCATCTCACTGGTAATTGAGTGATGTTTTTCGTCAATATGTTTTCTCTTTAGCCTGCTCCGTTGGATATGTGGGACTTCATTGTCAGAGAAAGTGCGAATGTGACAACGGGGCGAACTGTGATCCAGAAACTGGCGCTTGCATCTGTGGTCCAGGTAATTATTTTATTCCGAGGCACGGTTCCAAACTCTAAGCTCCTTCAATATTCAGGATTCACGGGCATCAAATGCGAAAAGCTGTGCCCACCTGACCGTTATGGTCCCAACTGCACTGAGAAGTGCCTTTGTCAGAACGGTGGCAGGTACACTCTTACCTATTTTTTTGTTTATTTATTCTCTTACACATCAAGGCACCCATCCAGGCGAATTCAACTAGTGTTGCTCCTTTGAGAATGTTCACATTATTACACATTTATAGGCTCTATCGCAAGATAGGGGGGCTTGTGCTGCAATACATTTGAAACGCGTAAAACATCCTTTTTGAGTTGGGATCGGGGCTAAGCCTTAGACGAGGGAGGAGAGACTCCATGGTGCGCGAGCAGCTTTTATTTTCCCTGAAGTTCCTATCCCTTTCTACGGCTGAGCCTTAGACGAGGGAGGAGAGACTCCATGGTGCGCGAGCAGCTTTTATTTTCCTTGAATTCCTGCCCTTTCTACGCTGGTACTGGTGGATGCCCCCGTATCTTGTGATAGCGCTCCATTTATAATTTCTTATTTTGTGTCATATTCTTCATAGCATTTCTGTATTTTCCCTTTGCAAATTGTGGAAATCGGGCCAAACCCAGTTTGTCCTCTGTGTTCCCGTCTATGCTCCCATCAGGGCTTCTTAACAGGTCATGGCAATGTACTCGGATGTACAGTGCCTGAACACTGGGTTTTCCTGTCAAACCGCTTTCGTTTCTTCTCGTTTGCTTCTTTTTGTTGTATTGCTCTGTCTCGATTAAACTTTTTGTCTCTAACGACTCTTATGATGACAGTGGCTTTGTCTTCGTTGACGTCTTTACGCGCTTTCGCTTCGATCATTATCTTTTACACTTCAATTAGCCTAAGATGTCGCTTCATAAACTGCGACTGATTGAGCAAGTTTCTTGGGCAGATCCTCATTTTCTCAGGGTTCAACTTAACACCTAACGACCAACTACATAATCCATTTTTCGCTTTGATCTCCAGTTGAATAAAAATATTAATTCAGGTGTGATCGCAACGGAAAATGTGAGTGCCTAGATGGATTCGCCGGCGAGTTTTGCCTTCGAAAATGCGATGAAGGCAAATTCGGTGCAAATTGTAAATTCGAATGCAATTGTAAGAATGGAGCCACTTGTGATGCTGTCAATGGTCGATGTATTTGTGCAGCTGGTTTCAGTGTGAGTGGAAGATCTTGTTGAGGAACTTTTCTGGATAATTTTTTTCTGTCTTTCCTTGAGGCCTAATTATTACTCTGTTTATGCGCGAAGGTGCTGTATTTATAGGGTGCATCATTAGTAGGATTTTTACCTCATATTTTTCCATGTTGTTTTCTCTAAGCAAGCTTGGGATCTTCAATCCCAATACTAATTCTGAGATTTTCACCTTTGACGTCTAAAGTGGCTGGTTTATTTCATGAGCATTCTGATGCTACAGAGGTGATGTAGTTGCGAAGTGACGGTATGCTGCACGTTGGGAGTGAACATAAGTCTTATAGGCCGAAATGCCCAAGAAAAACGATGAACTATTACATGACGGGGTTCACGTATTGGTACCAAATCTGCCTGTGATGATGAGGACTTTGATTGGAATACCGTACATTGGCTGGATCCCATCAGATAAAATAAATCACAGTCAAATGTCACTACTGTTCCGAATGGAAGTAAAATGCATGGCTCATCCATAAGAGGGATTGATTGATGCAAGATGCTGTACCCTTTTAATAGTGTCGATCCATAGTAGTGAATAAAGCCTCCCCTCGCCCATATTAGCCGGAAGCCGCGCAATAGAATCGATTGGAAATCCGCAATGTTTCGACATATTTTTTTATTTAATCATGTCATACAATCATACTATAAATATTTACATTACATATACTATATATTACAATATTCATGAATTCATGAATTGCGATTCATGAATTTGTCTTTATTTATTTTATTTATTTATTTATTTATTTATTTATTTATTTATTTATTTATTTATTTATTTATTTATTTATTATGAGGCGGAAGTGGTGTAGTGGCAAGTGGCACGCTTACCACGCGTGCGGTCTGGGGATCAAATCCTGGGTCGTGAGTCAACGTGCCTAAACGCCTTCCATCCCTCGGGGTCGGTTAATTGGTACCAGACTTGTCTGGGAGGATAAAAACACTGACTGAACATCGGCTGGCCCCCGCAAGTCATTGTATAGGCCACATCGCATTCAAACGCCACTGCGAATGTACAAATGGAAGTAGAATGCGTGCCGCATCCCAAGAAGGGATTGATCAACGGCAAAAGCTTTAAATCCTTTATCTTATATTCTACTGTGTGTTTCACATGAACTTTCTTTACCTGTAGGAAAATATTTAGTTGAGGTCCAAAAATGGATCATTAGTCTTAAACATGCGTAAGTTTTGTCCTGTTGACTTACCTTACACATAGCGCTCTATGAGTGATTTCACCGTGGTACAGCATTCGATTGATCGCGAAAAGAAATGACATAAAGACGAAGAACTTGACAATATGTATCAGGTGCCGAACTCAAGTTGTCAAATTTAAATACGCATTTTGGTTATCGTAAATATTGCGAACACAGTTATCGCTAGTGCAATTTTGCGCTTCAGCGAAAATTTCAAAGCTCTATGATTTTCAGGGCCCAACTTGCGAAGATCGGTGTGCATTGGGTTTCTTTGGAAAGAACTGCTCAAAGCTGTGCGACTGCCTGAACAACAACAAATGCGACTCGGTCACTGGGAAATGTCTCTGTGTGGGATGGATGGGAGAAAAATGCGAGCGTGGATGCCCTAAAGGCTTCTTACGGCCCTATGGTGAGCCACAGTTTTTTATTATTTGTTGGCTTCAGGTTTTCTAAGGTTGAATTTTTGAGCGAGACTTTCTAAATAAGGCCGTTTGCTTCATTAGGGTCTCGGGTTTAATTTGACCCGCCTCTTTAGGTGTTCTAATTCATCCTCACTGGGTTCTTCAACTCATTTAGAAGCTTTACAACGGCTTTGTAAGAGCAGCGCAAATGGAGATTGGTGGCAATGTTCCCTTTGTCTTTGATTTGAATAGGCTTTGCACCCATAAGTCCTGGATTTCTGAAGTTCCACGTTAAAATCCAAATATAACTTTGTCACTGAGTTATGTTTTTTGTTCTAGTGCTCCAAGAAGTGTGAACTTTGCAACGGTATCTCATGGACGGATTCAAATGCGGCATGTGATCCGGTGACTGGTGCGTGCAAGTGCGAGCGAGGATACAAAGGGCCTGACTGTAAACAAAGAGGTAGGACATTCTTCTTTTGCGCAAGAAAACGGAAGAAACACAACAACTCTTTCCTACTTGCGCTTGAAAAGCCGGAAGGTTGGAGTTTCTATAGCTAGTGTAGCTTTAAGAAACGTGAATTCATGTGAAGTTTCTGTGGTTATACAGGGTCCTTAAAGTAACAGTCTCATGGTCAGCAGGGTTTCTTACCTTCACTTGATGGTAGTGAACGATACGCTATTCTTTAGTGATGGAACGATAAGAAGATGAGACTGAACTAAAATCTACCTTGGGTATAGCTAGAAGGGCGCGGAAAGGTTTGAAGTGGGCTGTGAGTGCTCGTCGGCTGTATCCTTCGTACTGACTTCAACTACGCCTTACTTTGGAGCCGTACATCCGGCTTTCAAGCGGTTTCGGAGGAGAGTTTTTTTGTGTGCAGTCCATTTGTGCCCTGAATAGTTGCTAGCGATCATGTCCGACATTAGGTCGAAGGTGAAAATGTGTGACTTGGATGCTTCAAGTGAGGCGAGGGAAAGGCCTCACATAGAGGAGGAGAGATGGAGAGAGAGAGAGGAGAGAGAAATAGGCAACCGGATTAGTAGCAGTTGTTCATAATATTTGAGTCGGCGATTCGGATGCTGGGTATAAAAGTCTCAAAATGTATGCATTAATTGATATTGGGTAAGAAGTGCTAGATTAGCCGCAAATCGCTCGCCTAGCAGACGATGCCGCTATGTTTGAGTCAAGTTCCGATTCCCGGCTGGAGCGATGTATTTTGTCAGCGCTTTGTGATGGCTGCAAATCCGCGATCAAAGAGGGCTACAATCGTAACAAAAAAGTGTGTTTCCTAGAAGGCGAGTTTTTTGACGAGATAAGGGTTTTGTTTTTTGAATGTCTCAAAGAAGGGAGGTGTGATCAAGACGGTAAAATGATTCTTCAAAATTGTTTCAGTGTGTGACGAAGATATGTATGGCGGAGGCGCGCAAAACAGTGCCTGTTTATGGGAAAACGGAATGAAGGTGCTACCTATTAGGTCAAGTATGGGACAGGGTCTGAAAAACGCTGATTTTTTGTGACTTGCAGATTGTCTGAACAGACGGTACTGTTACGGTGTAGGCTGTTTCGCTGGAGATTCATTGTGAGGGTGGTGTCGAACTATTCTGGGGTGGTTGGATGCTGTCAAAGCTTCCACCACTTAGTTTTACGTTGGTGGTCACGGACCGGGTGTTCGACTGAGATGTGGTGTTACCTTTTCGGGTATGTATGTAGGGGAAAGGGGGAGAGACATCCTGTGGTGAAGCACTTACACCAAGGTGAATATTGCTTGCTTAAGGATTCCTCAACGGCACGTCGAGGATTTTCGCCTGATCCTTTACGTTCTCGCGCGCGGATATTCACTCTCGCCACCCGCGGCCGTCTGTGCTCTCCACGCGTACATTCACTATCGGCTCTACTCTCGCACAGCAGGAGAGCGATGGTCAAAGAATTCCTCGACCGTTATTGCACCATGTTACACACTTGGAAATGAGCTTAGAAGGGGGATAGGAATTAGGAGGAGGATGTGAAGCATCCTATTTTATTATTATATTGAGTTTATCTGTAGTTTATTGATCGGGTCAGTGACGCCTTATATGAAATTTCGGTGCACGAAAATGGTTTTATGAAGATGTCCAGAAAAGAAGACAATTTAAAAAGAATGACGAACAAATAAACTAGTAAAAACCCGTGATTAGGAACGTGTATAGAAGGAAAGAAAAATGAAAAAGAGAAGACAACAAGAAAGTGTTCAGCGGGAGCTTCCCATCAGAGCGAATAGATGGCACTGGCTTAAGGAACTGCACTAACTTCGACTTAAAATCTCAAAGGGCTATGAAGGCTCTGGCCTGGAGATAATGGGATACACGCTGCAGGGTAAGCCAGCACCAGTCGGCCATGATGCCCTTTGCGCCACTGACGGGGTCATGGGAGCTCATCGGCACTTCGAAACACGGGTATGCCGACCACCCACGTGGAACCGATAAACTTGGCAAAACCCGCCGCGCAGCATACCATGACTCAGACCAGAGACCTCATGACCATTTCATTTCGAGATAATTAGCCGATTGTGATCGAGAGAATCAAAAGTGACCATTCAAGCCAGATGGTCAATGTTGAGAAGGTCTCCTGGTTGAGACGACAAAAGAGTGTACATTATAGGAACAAGGCCAAATGTAAGAGCTACGTTACGTCTTCCACGCCAAGAGTTTCCAACATATCTAGTCTGTTCAAGGCTGCTTTGAACTGAGAAGAGTTTTCACATGAAAAAACGGATGGAGGCAGACGTGACAGCCAACGGGTTGTGCGTAAGATGAAGCAGTTGTAACGGAGTTGTTTCTGGAGTTTGCCCATTTTATGACCGAAAAACTGCTGAATTATATTTTCCCTTTCGTCTACTTCTAGGCTTAGTCTAGTGTCACTTACTTGCGGCCCTATTTTGGATGTCCCCCCCCCCCCCCCAAAAAAGAGACGAGCGCCTCTCCTCTACTGACTTTCCTCCTCTATCAGTTTGTCACCTGTTGTCGTATAGTGTCTCTCAGATGAGATGTTTTTGACGTTGATAGCTATTCAGTGGGAACCATGACTGTCGTCAAGCATGTACCGTACCGTAGCTTTTCTACCTATTCAGGTCGGGATTGTGCGAACAAATGTGAATGCGACTACAACGTGACGTCAGAGTGTGAGCCAACAAGCGGTAGATGTGTTTGCTTACCGGGTCGAACCGGAGCAAAGTGAGTTTTTTCCGTTCGCCAAGTGGTCATCTGCACAGGGACATCGGGTCGGGATTCTGAGGTCATTGCGACCTGTCCACAACATTTAGTGTTGTACCTCTGAGCGGTTTCTAGGTGGAAGAAGAATATTCACATAGATTGTAGAGCAGCGATGCTCTCTAGCAGCTGTAGAAAGACGAATTGAAAATTTTAGGAAGAAATCGAAATAAATAAATATAATGAACGTAGAGGGCGGGGAAACCTTCTAGGGCACTGGACAGGTTTGGGTTAAAAAAGAGTGAGACTGATGAGAATGAGAGTGAGAAAAAGTGAGTGTGAAGACTCGAAAACAGAAGCGAACCATCAGGAAACGGTCACGATTCCCTTCCAAGTTTACGTGAACAAAAAGGCTGGGGAAAAACTGCCGCATCCAAAGTAAAGGCAGATGTCCAACAACTGCATCTCCTGTTCTATTCGGCAACTGGAGCAGCTGGTAAGAGGTGCAGCAGTGAATAACAACTGAGGAGGAACGGTTTTTGAGCCCCCAGTAGTGCACCTCAATTCTATCCTTTGGATTTCCATTGGGCTTCAGATCGGTGCTGAAGTCATCAACTCTGGTAGCCCTGCTCTGCCTCTCTGGCAAAACTGCTAGTCTGACGAAGAAGGGTCAGCCACTGGGGTAGTCAACCGGTTGGCGGGCAAAGGGGGGGGGAGGAGCCTAGAGGATGACTGAGGACTTGCTACATCGCTGCAAGCGCCTCTTTCTCATAAATATGTTCAGTTTGTTTGATGGTTTTTCTACTAATATGAACACTGCTGTCCCAGATGTGCCGACGACTGCCCAGACGGTCATTTTGGTTTGGACTGTGCGTTCAAGTGCCAATGTGGAGAGAACGGTGTATGTGACAAACGAGATGGCTCCTGCAAATGCCGTAATGGTAAGTCTCAGTGAAGAGCTTTTAATCATTTTAT